TTTCTGTATTTCATCCAACTGTGTAGTAGTACACTGGTTCATCCAGTGCATCGATTTCCTTTTATGAATTCCACTGGCTTACAATTTATCTTTGCAGAGACAGACCAATTTTATACTACTTTCACACTGTACTAAATGCTACAAAGCAGACACTACAGCAAGAGGATTTGGAGTTTGTTTTATTGTTCTAGTCAACATCAGAGGTGCATCAAGGACATGGAAAAATAACTATCTGTAGGTTTCGCGCACAAACCACACTACAGTACTCCTGTCCTGCATGAGCTCTATCACACAGAGCCTCTTCTGCCATGACAATTCACCATCAGATTACCGTGTGCACGAGCGATTATGGAGAAATCATGGGGAATCTTGTGCACAAGATGAAGAGACAAGGTACAAAACGCAAAACAGACTGCAGTTCTAAGTTAATGTTCTCACCTTGTATTTTAAAATAGCAAACATCTCAGCCCAGATTGATGATATTCTCCACTAGAACCATCTCACCAAAAAGGCTGCACACAGAAAATGAGTAAAGCACAAACTAGACGATTCTTCACAGGAAAGGTGCGTGGTTTCTCCTCTAAAATGCTTGCAAAACGTCAGCAGATTCACTATTGAAATGCTTCCAGTTGTGACGCATTAAACATGAAGAATTTAACAGCGGAAAGATGTTTTTAAAAAGGAAAAAGAACAAATCAAATGTTTACTAGTCAAAGAAATCAAAACAGTCTTTTTTGCCCTGGCGATCATTTCCATGCACTTTGCATAAAGTTTAGTGTCAGGACAGAAAAGCGCTTTATTGTACAGCAGTGCTACTCAAGAGTTTCTAAGGAGAGGCGACGGGATTGCGCCCACGCGAGAGGCTGCAGTACAGGCTACAGACAAAGAACGAGTTCGCTTTATTTCCACCACATCTCAGAGAGACGCAGCAGAGAACATGGCCAGGCCGACTAGCTGCCTTACAGTATCGCGCACAAACATTCATACACATGTGCAATCATATGCGAGTGCACACCTGGCCACAGTACAAAAGCAAACCACTTGCTACATTAGATTAGAAACCAAAGCAAGTACGCTTCCTCACTCGCACAAACACAGTCGCTTCAGGGGGACAGATATTATAGAAGGTACAAAAAAACCTCTTAAAAAACAAAACATAACACAGAAGACCGTAAATTATACAGACGCACACGCAAGCACGCTATTATGCTGCGGTTTGTTCCTGGGCTCCGTTTTCATCTATTTTTATTGTACTACCATTCTCTTTCTTTTCCTGCTCCTTCTCTTGTTCGGACTCTTTCTGGAAAACACACACACAAAAAACAACATCATGAGTTAGAAGACAACAGCTATCTGGTGGTTAAATCTTTTGTGCAATGACTAAGAGCTAGTAACCGTAGACACTTACTTTGGCGTCTCTCTCTGCAAACTTCTGGAACATGTTGGCATAGAGGCGTTTGTCCTTCTCATGTTGCTCTTTGATATGTTTCTGGCAGACCACAATCTGGCTCTTCGCAGCCTTATTGGCTGGATACAACTGAGTGACGTGCTGGAAGTCTGCTCTCGCCCGGTCAAACTCCTTCATGACAATCAATGACTCTCCTCGTCTAAACAAAGCCTTCTCGTTATTTGCGTCCAGCTCCAGTGCCTTT